CTGGAGGTTTTTTTTTTTTTTTTTTGAGTCACAGTCTTGCTCTGTTGCCCAGGCTGGAGTAGTGCAGTGGCACGATCTCAGCTCACTGCAAGCTCTGCCTCCCGGGTTCACGCAATTCTCCTGCCTCAGCCTCCCAAGTAGCTGGGACTACAGGCGCCTGCCACCATGCCCGGCTAATTTTTTGTGTTTTTAGTAGAGACGGGGTTTCACTGCATTAGCCAGGATGGTCTCGATCTCCTGATGTCGTGATCCGCCTGCCTCGGCCTCCCTAAGTGCTGGGATTACAGGCGTGAGCCACTGCGCCCAGCTGGTTTTTGTTTTTTTGTTTTGTTTTGAGACAGGGTCTCATTCTGTCACCTAGGCTGGAGTGCAGTGACGTGATCATGCTCACTGCAGCCTCAACCTCCCAGGCTCAAGTGATTCTTCCACCTCAGCCTCAGCCTTCTGAGTAGCTGGGACTATAAGTGCGTGCTACCACACCTAGCTAATTTTTAAATTTTTTTGTAAAGGCAGGGTCTCACTGTGTTGTCCAGGCTGGTCTCAAGCGATCTACCCCCTGCCTGAGCCTCTGAAAGTGTTGGAATTACAGGTGTGAGCCATTGCATGCAGCCTAGAGACATTTCGATTGTGACAACTGAGGAGGGGGACTGCTACTGACATCTAGTGGGTAGTGGCCAGGGATGCAGCTAAACATCCTTCAATTCACAAGGCCAACCCCCACAACAAATTCTCCAGTCTCAAATGTGCAATAGTGCCGCACCGACACATCCTGCTCTATGGGAGCAAGGACTAAGTGCTTCTGGCTCACTGTTGTATTGCCAGTTCACCACTGATAGTGAATGTCCCATATTGAGTACTCAATAAATATTGGATGAAAGTTGAGGTAGAGGGGTTGAGGCCCAGGACCTAGCCTGCTTGACACCCAGAGAAGACATTACTACCCCCCTAGGCTGCTTTCCAAGGATGGTAGCTTTGTACTTTTCTTTTTAACATTTATTTTATTTCATTTTATTTAAAAATAGAGATGGAGTCTTGCTATATTGCCCAGGCTGGTCATAAACTCCTGGCCTCAAGCGATCCTCCCACCTCAGCCTCCCAAAGTGCTAGGATTATAGGCGTGAGCCACCACACCCAGCCACCTTTGTACTTTTCAAAGCTCTGTCCTGTCTGCTATTCCTTGTGGTCTTTGTGATGTTCCTGCAGTACTATAGAGCTGAGGCCAGACAGAACCCAGTTTCCTGCATTGATGGCTGCAGAGTCAGTTTTGCTTTGGATGATGATGGAGAGCTTATGCTCTCATCCTGGTTCAGCCCAGGTGAGAAACTCTCTCCCCGTGGCTTAGTCTGTGCTCCACACCTCTGTCTGTGCTTCTGTGTTGCTGTTCCACCATCTCTTGTGTGCAGTTGAAACTTCTGGGCTGAATGGAAACCCATGCTCAGCTCGAATGATGGCCAGTTATAGCTACACTGGCCACGGTGTTAGCATGATCTTATACTTCTACTATGGCACTAAGTGCAGGCCAGAGAAATCATTCTCAACTGTACTGTAAACTTGAGTTTCCTTATTAATAGCAAGTGTGTCACAAGAAATTCGTTAGTAGGCTGGGCGCAGTGGCTCACACCTGTAATCCCAGCACTTTGAGAGACTGTGAAACCCCATCTCTACCAAAAAAACAAAAATTATCTGGGCATGGTGGCGCACACCTGTAGTCCAAGCTACTCGGGAGGCTGAGGCAGGAGAATCGCTTGAACTGGGGAGTCAGAGGTTGCAGTGAGCTGAGGTCACGCCACTGCACTCCAGTACGGAGACAGAGTGAAACTCCGTCTCACAGGAAAAAAAAAAGATGAGAGTATCCTACAGCAGGAGCAACTTGAAGACCAGTAGTTCTCGTGCACTGAAGTAGGGGAGGACAGAGAGTATTTAGGGACTGGGAAGCCACTAGCATAGAAAATGAGGTGCCAGGGGGTACTTCAGGCTGGCCCTGACAACTTCCAACCTCAGCCCTGTCTACATATCTAGGCTGTGGAGGCTCTGAGAAGTTCCAACTGTGTGGGCTGAAGAGGAGGAGTAAGAGAACCAAGGCAAGCCCCAGTCAGCACAGCTGGGCATTATTCCTAAGCCCATGGATCTAACACTACTGCTTTCATGCTCAGACCCTCTGGGAAGGGTAAGCAAGATTGTGGGGCCTGCAAGCTGCCGGTGACCATTTTTCCAGCCAGGAAAAGGAATAAAGCCAACATGCAGAGCAAGATGGAGATGAGTCCTGGTAGGGTCGGGGTATCTGAGGCCCATCTGTAGCTCAGCCTTTATGTGACTCAGGGTGAGTCAGTTAAGTGCCTGTTTTGGCCTGTGTGTACTAAATTTCAGTTGTATTTCTGTCATTAGAAAACAAAAACAGTTCAATCAATATATCAATGAAAATCTGCTCTCAGGACCTGGTGCAGTGGCTCACACCTGTAATCCCAGTGCTTTGGGAGGCCAGTGAGGGAGGATAGCTTGAGCCCAAGAGATGGAGACCAGCCTGGCCAACACAGCAAGATCCTGTAACTAAAAAAAAAATTTAGGCCGGGCATGGTGGCTGACGCCTGTAATCCCAGCACTTTGGGAGGCCAAGGTGGGTGGATCATGAGGTCAGGAGATCGAGACCATCCTGGCTAATATAGGGAAACCCTTTCCCTATTAAAAATACAAAAAATTAGCCGGGCGTGGTGGCAGGCGGTCTTAGTCCGCTACTGGAGCTTGGGCGGAGAGGTTGGTGGATCCCAGGTGGAACTTTCAGTGAGTGGGAGGTCCTTGACTTGTCTCAGCGCTGGGGCGACGATGCAAGACTGTATTCAAAAAAAAAAAGGAAGAAAAAATTAAAATTGGCTGGGTGTGTGGGCTCACGCCTGTGTCCGCCAGACTTGGGGCGAGGTGGTGGGATCCACGAGTCGGGACTGTGTTGGGACCAGGCCTGACCATCATGGTCGCGCACTCGGTCGCTTAGCATAGCAAATTGCGGGCGGCCGGGTTGGTCGAGGCCTGTATCCCAGACTTTTGGGAGGCTGAGTAGGTGGATCACAAGGTCCGGCGATGGACCATCCTGGGCAACAGGTGAACCCGCCGTCTCTACTAATACAAACGAGGGGCGAGGGTGAGTGGGCGGCCTGTAGTTCCAGCTACTTCAGGGGCTGGGCAGAGAATGGCATTACCCGGAAGCGGAGCTTGGCAGTGGGGCTGAGTCGGTTACTTGGCACTCCAGCTGGGAGCCGGAGCGAGCTACGTCTCAAACAAAACAAAAAAAAAATTAGCCTGGTTGTGGGTGGCACTCACCTGTAGTCCCAGTATTCGGAGGGTTGGACAAGAGATACTTGACCCAGGAGCGCCCGGGGTTGCAGTGAGGCAAGAATCCCGCCGCATGCACTCCAGCGCCTGGGCGATTAGAGGGGAGATCCATTCAGGAAAAAAAAGAAAAAAAAACATTCCTGGACCATGAATGGTATGTGCTATAGTCCTAGCTACTTGGGGAGGGCTGGGCAGGCACTGCACTTCCGCTGGACCACCGAGGCAACTGTGCCCTAAAAGAAAAAACAAAAAAAAAAAGGGCCTAATTTGTTTCTTTGCCAGCAGGTCTTGTTAATTTGAGAATTAATCACAACTTTTAGCAAATGAGTGGGCTTTACTGTTGAATTTTAGGTATTATCCTCATGGAGGATTTTCTTTTATTTTTTGAGTGGGGTAAGGACGTAAGCCTTAGGCAGGCTTTAATTTACTATGGGGCTAAGCAGTTCCTTTGGCTGATCTGAAGCTGAGACTGTTGTTGCTGGCTTGTCCCCCTTTTAGTACATACGAACTCTCTGCTATGTCTTTGCATGTAATTTTCTTCTTAGTTAGGTATAAATGGCATGTTTCTCATGTTTTTTGTGGGAAGGAAGAATCAACGTTAAAACCTAGCTTCACCCCCTTGTTACTTGGACAGCTGCTTTGGCCTTGAACTGTTTCGTTCAACGGTACTGGATTTTTTTTTTTTTTTTTTGGACGGTCTAGCTTCTTGGGCCCAGGTGGAGTGCAGTGCGGACTCACGCTCATGGCAAGCTCCCTTCTGTTTACGCTTCTCTGCCTCAGCTTCCGAGTGCTGGGGGACTCAGGCGCCGCCACCTCGGCCCGGGGCTAGTTTTTTGGTTTTTTAGTAGGACGGGGTTTCACGTGTTTCGCCGGATGGTCTTTGATTTCTGCTCGTTGATCGGGCCCGTCTCGGCCTCCAAAGTGGGCTGGATTACCCAGGCTTGGCCACGCTTCCCGGCCGCCTACTTTCTTTTTAATTTTCTGAGAACAGAGTCTTGCTTGCCGCCCAGGAGGAGTTGCGTAAAGGAATCTTTTGCGCACTGCACTTCTGCCCCCAGTTCATGGATTTTCTCGGCTAGCTCCAAGTAGCTGCGATTCAGGCACACACAACCACATCCGGCTAATTTTTGTATTTTTAATAGAGACGGGGTTTCACCATGCTGGCCAGGCTGGTCTGGAACTCCCGACTTAGGTGATCTGTCCAACTCGGCCTACCAATGTGCTGGGATTACAGGCATGAGCCTCCGCATCCAGCCACAAAGTTTACTTTTAAAGTTAAGATGATATTCTGTGAAAATGCTTGGTAAACAGTGAGGTGAAGTTCTGTATAAATGAGAATCATTGGGCAGGCTATGGGAGACCTGAGTTTTTAGGTGTCAGGACAAACGCAGGGGCTTGAGGGTGTTAAGGAGGGTACAGTTTAGAAAAAACTTCTGCCTCTATCTGAGCATTGATAATTTAGTTATTCAGTCTCACAAAAGATAGTAAAGATATCAAAAGGCATGTTTGTTCCTCAGTAGGTTTAACAGTGAGCATTGGAAGTTCTGGCCTCCTTAGAGAGTGGCCCTGGAGAAGGACTGGAAGTGGGAGGGCAGCCACAGGAAAAATTACAGAAACCACCTGGTGTGAATGGGACCAAGACCTCAGGCTTTCCATTCAGGGAGCTGTCCCCTTACCAGATTGATGCCATTCACTTCTATGTGCTGGAGGAGGACGCTGGCCACATGCTCTGTGTCCCACTGCACACCTGGGTCATCTGGGAAATCCCTGCAAGGGAGAAGCACAACTTGAACACCTTTTCTAATCAGGCGCAACCTTCTCCCTAAGCTCCAGTAAGTAGGTGCATGCCCGGTTTTGTGATAATTACATTGGGGGTAAGGGGTCCCTGCCCTTAAGCTTCCTCAGATTTCAGTTAAGGTGAAATTCACAAACATGAGACAACTAGAAATTAATGCACAATTCCACACAACACACTTTTGGAGCTTTATGCTTATTGCTGAGGGGAAGAAACAATATCAACGAGATAAGGCTCTGTCTACAAGTTGGGGAGACAAATGTGTTAAAAATGAACTTGAGCACAAGGCATGATGATATGCACTTTATGAGAATAATAGTAACAGTACTTTAATAAAAAGTACAAAGATATGTTATTTCATTAACCTCATGAACACCTTTTGACGGAGTTTTTTTTTTTTTGAGATGGAGTCTCCCTCTGTCACCCAGGCTGGAATACAGTGGTGAGATCTCGGTTCACTACAATCTTTGCCTCCTGGGTTCAAGCGATTCTCCTGCCTCAGCCTCCTGAGTAGCTGGGATTGCAGGCACCCACCATCACGCCCGGCTAATTTTTGTATTTTTAGTAGAGACGGGGTTTCACCATGTTGGCCAGCCTGGTCTCGAACTCCTGACCTCAGGTGATCGGCCCAACCTCGGCCTCCCAAAGTGCTAGAATTACTGCTCCGTCACCTAGGCTGGAGTACAGTGGCTCACTGCAACCTCCGCCTCCTGGGTTCAAGCAATTCTCCCACCTCAGTCTCCCGAGTAGCTGGGATTACAGGCATATACCACCACACCTGGCTAATTTTTTTTTTTTCCCTGAGACTGAGTCTTGCTCTGTTGCCCAGGCTGCAGTGTAGTGGCGTGATCTCAGCTCACTGTAACCTCCACCTCCTGGGTTCCAACAGTTCTCCTACTCAGCCTCCCAAGTAGCTGGGATTACAGGTGCCCGTCACCACACCCAGCTACTTTTTTGTATTTTTAGTAGAGATGAAGTTTCACCATGTTGGCTAGACTAATCTTGAACTCCTGACCTCAGGTGATCTGCCTGCCTCAGCCTCCCAAAGTGCTGGGATTAGAGGTGTGAACCATCATGCCTGGCCTTTGACAGAGCCTTTACCAATGAAGTTAAGTAGCTTGTTTGGAAGACTGTTAGAGTTAGATTTTGAATGCAGGTTTTGCCTGCAAAGCCAAAATGCTTTAGCAGTAGGGAGCTGGCTACATCCCCCCTCCATCAGGACTAGGGCTTGCTGCATGTCAGGTACAAAGGTCTTTACCAGAATAAACTGCAACTTATCTGTGTCTCCACCTGGCCACACCACAGGCCTATCTATCTCCTTCTCCAACCTGCTGAAATCCTTCCGGTCTCTTTTTTGTGCTTTGATCTATGGTGTCACCTGATATGAGACCAAGGCCTACTTTGGTCCCCTTTTTTGAAAATATTATTCGTAATCTTATAAACTGATACCTATCTCTCTTTTGGTCAGGTCCTACAGCAACACCCATAATGCTACTGAGAGGACATGGGCTCTGCTCCCTACCAGGCAGGTTGTTATCACTTCCCTATGGACAAAGGTCATTAACTGGCCCCCTTTCGAACTTTGGGCAAAGGAGAGTCACAGGAGGTTTTTCAGCACAAAAATGACATGAGCCTCAGCAATAAATAGTGTCATTATTTCCTTTGCTTCAGCTGGTTCATTTACCAACCACTTATGGCAGTGGTCCCCAACCTTTTTGGCACCAGGGACCAGTTTCATGGAAGATACTTTTTCCACGGACAGGGGTGGGAGGCATTAGATTCTCATAGGGGTGTGCAACCTAGATCCCTCGCATGTGGAGTTCAAAATAGGATTTGCACTCCTATGAGAATCTAATTCCACCACTGATCTGACAGGAGGCAGAGCTCGGGCAGTAATGCTTGCTTGCCCGTCACTCACCTCCTGCTGTGCTGCCTGGTTCCTAACAGGCCAGGGACGGGTACTGGTCTGAAGCCTGGGGGTTGAGGACCTCTTCTTTAGGGTGTTTACTGCAGAGGGCAGCTTTGTACTTTTCAAAGCCCTATCCCGTCGGCCACTCCAGGTGGTTCTCATAGTGCTCCTGCAGTGAGCAGGACAGGCAGCTCAGCAGGTGGGGGACAGGATTGGGAGAAAGGGATAAAGTGGGATCAGGACAAAGTCCAGTTTTGCTTCCTGGATATGGAGCTGAATATGATGTGTAAAACATAACCCCCTGAGCTCAGGCAGCTGAAGGAGAAATAGACACAGGGCACAGAGAAAATGTCTTGGAGTGACAACAGCTACATACATACTCCCGGCTGAGAGGTTCACATAAGTGTACCAAGGCATCATTTTGGAGCGAGAATACACCAGTATTACTATATGGAATGTTAGCACACGAGAGAAAGGATAGGAGGATAGTTGGCTAAGCCTACTAATTCTCTGTTGTTCCGAGGTTCTAACGTGCTGAAAGATAAACCTCAAAGAGGGGGATGTTCATGGCTGCCTTTCATTTATCTTCAGAGAACTGAGATCTGCTTTTTTGAGGGGCGATGCAGGAACAAGTGTTGCTCCATGCCTTTCTTTCGGTGGCTCCACCCAGTCATTGTGGGTGAGGCCAATCATTTAGGGAGGGACTTTGAACTGTAAATATCTGCTCTGTGATGTGACACATCTGATAACGCATCATCACTTTTATGATTAAGTCCAAACTCCTCTCGGTCAGGCATTCAAGTTTTCCCCAATCTATATCCTATTTTGATTCACTTCCTTTCTCATTATTTGAAGGGGTCAATGAGATAACACAGGTCAGAAAGCATTTAAGAACTGTAAAAAGGGCCGGGCGCGATGGCTCATGCCTGTAATGCCAGCACTTTGGGAGGCTGAGGCGGGTGGATCACAAGGTCAGGAGATCGAGACCATCCTGGCTAATACCGTGAAACCCCGTCTCTACTAAAAATGCAAAAAAAATTAGCTGGGCGTGGTGGCGGGTGCCTGTAGTCCCAGCTACTCAGGAGGTTGAGGCAGGAGAATGGCGTGAACCTGGGAGGCGGAGCTTGCAGTAAGCTGAGACTGTGCCACTGCACTCCAGCCTGGGCCATGGAGCGAGACTCCAATAACTGTAAAGAAATGTGTAAACATCAAAATCGTGGCTGTTATTGCTGCATTAGCCTAATTTAAACCACCCTTTAAAAAAAAAAAAGAAAGAACTCCCCAGTCCTTCTTTTTTTTTTTTTTTTTTGGGACGGAGTCTCACTCTGTAGCCCAGGCTGGAGTGCAGTGGGGCAATCTCAGCTCACTGCAACATCTGCCTCCTAGGTTCAAGTGATTCTCCTGCCTCAGCCTCCCCAGTAGCTGAGACTACAGACACCTGCCACCATGCCCAGCTAATTTTTGTATTTTTACTAGAGACAGGGTTTCACCATATTGGACAGGCTGGTCTCAAACTCCTGACCTTGTAATCCACCCACCTCGGTCTTCCAAAGTGTTGGGATTACAGGTGTGAGCCACCGCGCCCAGTCCCCAGTCCTTCTTTCTTGCAGTCCCTTGCAGAGCTCTTTGATGGCCACTTCTATTGCGGTTGATTATTTCAAAGTGGGGTAGGCACCACAGGAGATGTGTAAGATGACTCACTGAGGTAAAGCAATGAATCACCAGGACTTCTATTTACCTGTTTTTCTGTTTAAATCTATATTTTGTAGCTATTTTATAAGGCATCATATACGAACAGGGTTAACATGTATATAATTTGGGTAAATAAGTACATAAATATGGAGGTGCAAGCTCAAATGTTGTTTCTTGCCATTAGGGGAGTGTGATAAAAATGTTTGGAGATCACTAATCTACTCATAATTTCATTTTTCATTTATTTTCTCCTGAATATTTTATTTTATTTATTTATTTTTGAGACGGAGTTTTACTCTTGTTGCCTAGGCTGGAGTGCAATGGCACCATCTTGGTTCACTGTAACCTCTGCCTCCCGGGTTCAAGTGATTCTCTTGCCTCAGCCTCCCAAGTAGCTGGGATTACAGGCGTGCGCCACCACGCCCAGCTAATTTTGTATTTTTAGTAGAGACAGGGTTTCACCATATTGGCCAGGCCAGTCTCAAACTCCTGACCTTGTGATCCACCCACCTTGGCGTCCCAAAGTGCTGGGATTACAGGCGTGAGCCACCATGCCTGGCTGATATTTTATTTTTTTGAGACAGAGTCTTGCTCTGTCACCCAGGCTAGAATGCGGTGGTACAAGCACAGCTCACTGGAGCCTTGACCTCCAGGCTCAAGTGATCCTCCCATCTCAGCCTCCCAAGTAGCTGAGATTACAGGTGTCAGCCACCAAGCCCAGCTAATAACTCGGTGATTTTTAGTACATGTATGGAATCTCTACATTTTATTTTACTAGTATTTTACATATATATATACACACACACACATACACACACACACACACACATATATATATATATATATTTTTTTTTTTTTTTGAGACAGAGTCTTGCTCTGTCACCCAGGTTGGAGTGCAGCGACATGATCTCAGCTCACTGCAACCTCCGCCTCCTGGGTTCAAGCGATTCTCCTGCCTCAGCCCATCAGTAGCTGGGATTACAGGCATGCAACACCATGCCCGGTGAGTTTTTGTATTTTCAGTAGAGACAGGGTTTCACCATGTTGGCCAGCCTGGTCTAGAACTCCTGACCTCAGATGATCCACCCACCTCAGCCTCCCAAAGTGCTGGGATTACAGGCTACATATATTTAATTCTTTACTCTCCAACCTATCATAAGTCCTCTGATGGACGATGTTACATGAGCCATTCATCAGTCAAGGTCTAGCCAAGTAAATAGAGACCACCAGGTATTTCAGAAGGAATTTAATACAGAAATCTGTTTACCCACTCACTGTATGGGAAGAGCTGAGAGGCCAAACAGTGAAACAACGCAGAGACTGGCAACAGCAGAAGGGCACCACCGCCTCTAAGATGGGACACCAGAGCCA